TTGCCCAGACGCCTTCCCGAGCTGAGCAATGGGCACGCTCTCGGGGGGCCGTCTGCTGGGTGACTTCGGGGGCACGGCTGCCAAGCTGCGGCCCAGCCAGTGATGGCACGCAGCGGATGGTGACCTTGCTCCTGTCATGCGTGTCTCGGTCCCAGGCAGAGGGGACGGCTCTTGGCGGGCTCTGCGAGAGGGCCCACGAAGGCCCGGGCACAGAAGCGCCGCCCCGTGTCCAGGAGGCTGGGCTCAGCGGGTGCAGAGGGGAGCCCGGGAGCCGGCTTGGGGGGTGTTAAGAGTGCAGGCCAGAGCTCAGGCGCCCTGCGTTCCAGACCCTGCGCGGCCACGGAGCCAACGGGGTGACTTTGGGCCCACCACAGACTCTCGGCCCAGCCTACCTCGCAGGGTTGTTGTTCTGGGGATGAGGAGGCGGAGAATTCTGTAAGTCTCCATGAATTCCTCGGAAGGAAAACAGGCGGGATATAAATCTAATAAACAAATAGGCAAAACCTAACTTGGGGAGAGCGGTCTCCTTTCCGAGGAAGGGCATTGTCCTGACTGTGCACCCCAGGCCCCCAGATCGGAGGCTTACAGCCACGTGGCTGTTTGGAGCCAGCCCGGGAATGGATCCTGGCAGCCACGGCTTCTGGCTCGGGGTCTCCAGGTCCGTATTACCCGCCTCCCGGGGACGTCCCGCAAGCGGCCAGCCCCTCCGAGCAGCACAAGCGCCTTGGCTTTCGCTCTGCAAAGCCCAGGCATGGTGCGGTAAAACCCGTCTTTTTCTTAATATATGCTAATTTGATTTTAATGGGATTCAGATTTTTCAACAGCGGCACAGCGTTAGCCGTGGTAAGTTATAATCATATCTAATTGGTAATTCTAACATAACAAATTTCCAGGATAAATTATTCGTAGTTAATAGCCCCTGGAGAACAAGTAAGGTGTGGTGTGTGGGAGAGAGGGAGAGAGATGGATGAGTTCAAGGTGAAGGAGGTTTTTAAACATAGGAAGTTTCAACTCCAGATGCAGAACGGAGGGAGAATGAAAAGCTGGACGAGCTCAGTCTCAATACGGTGATGCTCGGCTGAGACAACTGCGTGGAGGAACACACTTCCCTATCCAGCTGAGCGGGGACATGTTTGATCCTCCTGCCTACCCGGAGTCTGGGCCTCCATCTCCCCACAGCTCTCACTGCTGGCTTCATAGGATGCAGCTGATGGGAGTCGTAATCCAAACCACCAGAGGCCCACCGTTCCTCATTCAAGGCCGAGCAAAGCTGGTTCTCCAGTGTGGAACCCTCTCTAGCCAAGGGACTACATTGTACTCACTGGGAAGAGGGTGTCCTCGGCCGCGTGACGAGGCTCCAGGAGGTGGCGAGGACCCTTCAGCCGCACCGGGACACGAGGCCAACAGGATCTTCCTGCCAGCCTGCTCCAGGATTTGGTGGACAAGGCCCACCGCCTCTGGCACTGGCAGCTGCTCACAGCATCGCAGAATTGTCGAGCTGAAAGAGCCGGGAGGCCATCAGGTCCAACCCACGGCTCCTGCGGCCCCCGAGCTGCACCCTGGGAGCGTGTGGCCGGCAGGACCAGCCGCCTCGGACAGCCCCCCCCTCCTCCCCCAGGAAGGAGCCCAGTCCCCAGGGGGTGGCCGTCCAAACGGTTGTGGGAGTGACTTCCCCAGTGGAACGTTGTGCTGTGTGAAGAAGGACCGCCTTTGATCTGCCCCGAACCTCCCGCCGCTCACGAGGAGGCCCCCTCGGGGCTCTGGCACTGGGAGAGAAACGCCCCTCGATCAACGCACTTTCACCACACCACACAAGAGTTTCGTGCACCTCCACCGTGCTCCCCCCCCCCGAAGTGAAACATCTCCCGACGCCATCGCCTTTCCCCCTGGGGGGCTTGATCCATTTGCGTGCCCTCCTCTCCCCCGGCCATGCTGTGCAGCCCCCGTGGTGAGACACCGTGACCAGATCGGTACCATAACGAGCTTCGGGAGGCCTCCAAGTCGACCGCCGCAGATCCTGCAGGAAACGGGGGACCCTCCGAAGCATCTGGCCGGGCCTGCAGACGAGAGTCCCAGGGCAGGGGAGCCCAGGCACACACAGACCGGGCTGAGAGCGGCGGCCCCGTGCCGCTCCGTGCAATCGCCCCCCGAGCCTGGGGAAAAAGGAATCCAGGATGGAACCACGGGGAGGCAGCGCCTGGGGAGAAGCCGCCGAGCACCGGGACCGCGTGGCTCAAAAGCTGCCGTTGGCAGAAGCCCCCTCAGTGCCTGCTTTGGGGGACTGTCCCCGAGGTCAGAGCCAGCAGGAAAGGGGTTCTGCAGGGGCCGAGGCTCTTTCTGTGCCCACGCTGACGTTCTGGGGCCGGCGCTGGCGGGCTCGCTCTGTCAGCAGCGATTGCTCTCCGCGCAACAAAAGCAAAGCCGCTGACACCTTTGGGCTCTCCACACCTGTCCCACGCCAGACTGAGTTTTCCCTCTGCCCCTGGGGGTGAGCAGCTGTCTGAACACGGGCGATTAATAGCTTTAACTACCTTGTGACAAGCTGTCCACCCGGGCCGGCTGGCTTTTTAATTTTTCTGGCAAGCGAGCTCTTCCTTTGGGCCGTGTATCCGCGCATCTTCCCTTCCTCACTCCCTCCTCTCGGTATTTCCCGTTCGAGGGCCGCGGCATCTCTTTTTCTGCCATCAGGATGCTTCCCTTCCTCCCCTCGAGGGGGGGAAATTAGGCAGGGAACGTGTGGCCCTCAATATGTTTTGGCCGACAAGCTACGGATGTGCAAGCCGCTCATCTGTGTCGCTTTTGGGGAAGGTACACCCACCTCCCACCTTCCGGACTGAACGTGGCCTTGGAAGCTTTCTGCTGCCATCGGCCACACCTTCGGAGCCTACCCCATGCGCACTTGGGGAATCTGCACACGGGGCCATTTGTCAACAAGAGAAGGACGTACGCACCGCACAGGTGCGCACGAGGGAGGCTACAGTCGGGAACGTGTGCACGGAAACGCCCGCAGATGTCCATGTGGACGGAAGCATGACGCACGGCACGGATCGGGTTCCGACCGCAGCCGTGAGGCACTGCCCGCCACCCCGGACGGCCACGCGCTGGGGCACGGGTGAGCTCCACCGGCTCGGGCAGCTTGGAATTGCCCTGCCCTGGGTGGGCTTCGGCCGCGGAGGAAACCCGCCCGCCCCACGGGCAGGTGGTCTTCAAACAGGGCTGCGGGACTGACGGTGCCCCAGGGCGGCTTTCCATTCTGGAGACGCTCCAGGCCGTCCCCGGCGTGGGTGGAGCCCGCGGCGAGGTGGGGGGGGCCAAAGGCGGGCGGGGCGGGGCCAACGCCAGTGGCACATTGGGGGCGGTGCCTTCGGAAAGGGGTTTCGCCCCCCTGGAGGGGGGAGGGACCGCACGCAGCCCGGGGCCACCTGCCATGGCTGGGCTCCGCAGGGGGGCTGTGGCCATCTGGGGAAGCCCACAGAGCCAGGCCGGGCCCGATCGGGGGCGGCCCCCAAGAGCAGCAGCACGTCCCAGAGCCGGCCGGTCTCCGCTCCCCTCGCCCTCGGGAGTCGGGCCGTACTCCGCGGGTGACGCCCACCCGAAGACCCCTTCCTCAGCCCCACCGCCCCGCTCGGCCCTGCCTGGCGTTCCTGGCCATCGCCATGGTTACCTCCCACATCCATCAACTCAACAGCCTTTGGAGAGGCGCCTTCGAAATGCGCTGCATTTTAATGCGCGGCCCGGAGGCCCGGAGGTCCATAAATAAGGGAAGCCGGCCGTCCCCGGCGGCCACTCAGCGCGCGAACCTTTTATGCCAGGCGTGAGCGATGGCCCCGGGAAGGCTCTTTCTCCTGACAAAGTCACTGACGCCGCCTCGGCTCCGGGTGACGAACGAGACGCTCCGTGGGATGCCGAGCGCCGGGAGCGCCCGCGGGGGACCCATCGCGGGTGGTGATTCAGCGGCAGGTTTCGGGGTCTTCTGACGGATGGCCAGAAAGCAGCCACTCTGGAGGGCTCCGCCGTCACTCCCACGCTCCTGCGCCTCCGCGGCCGGCTCTCCGCCTCGGCACTCCCACGAAAGGAAGGGCAGCGCCGCCAGGCCTCTCCCGAGCCTCTCCGCTGGCGGGCGAGGGCGTCAACCCGACTGACACACCGCCCTGTCGTTTCTTTAAAAAGCGGTCCTGCTCCCGCCGAGGCTGCTCCGTCAGACGCTGGCATGGCGCTCCCGCTCGCCGGGATCCGAGGGCTGGGATGCAGCCGGCACCAAGTTCCTCTGAGCTCCCCGGGCCCAGGGACCTGCGGCCACCAGCAGCCCCGCCGAGGCCTTGGTCCAGCGGCTCGGCCTCTCCAGCCGACGGGGTCGGAAGCGAAGCGTGTCCGGCCCCCTTCCGGCGCAGCAGCTCCGGTCACCGCCAAGGCCGGCTCCATGGGGGGCGCGCTCCCTCCCCAGCAGGTGCCCACCCCGCCTCCCCGAAACGTGCGGGTGCCAGCCGCTAAGCGGCCGGCAGAGGTGGCACGAGCACAGCACAGGGCCTAACTAAGGCGTGGCGTTTGCTTATTAAAATGAGCGGGTGGGGAAGCTGGTGGAGGGGGGACCGTTGCTTCCCTCGTTGCCTCTGGGAAAGCGCATGGCGGGCTGCCTTCCATGCCAACATCGGCAGAGGCGCGGCCTTCCCGAGCGGCTCCACAGGCGGCAGGCGCCTCACGGAAGCCCGGCCCCTCGGGGGTTTCGTCCCCGGTGAAAGGGGCACGGACGTCGACCTGGAGAGGCGGCGATTGTGGCTCTTTTCAGCCCGGGCGCTGCCCGGGACAAGCGTGGCACACGGCCCGTCTCTGATTTCATCTTGCAATGTAGGGGCACCCCATTTCTGGGCTGCTTTGGGACACGCGCACCTCCAAACTCGGTCAGAGAAGGTCTGGAAGCGACCTCAACACGGGACAGAAAAGGGTATTGCAGAGGTGGGCAAAGGGCCCGCAAGGGCAGCACAAATGCGGGAGGGGCAGCGAGGCAGAGTGGCAACAGCCAAGAGTCTTCAGCCCGGAGCAATGGCACGCGAGCAGAGCACGGGGGCAGGCCTGGTGCGGGGCGTGTGGAGACGGGGACATCTTCCTCCCGACTTCCCCTTCTCACAGCCCAGGAGGGGCAAAGATTTCAGGCAGATCCAAGGAAGGGCTTCTTCACCCGGCACCCCTGGAATTGACTTCCTGTGACGGTGCTGGCCACCAATTCGCACACGCTTAAAGGCTCGCCAAGGTTTCTGGTCCTCATGGCTCCATGCTGCCTCTTTGGATGGAGAGGAGCCAAATGCTGGGGCAACTCTGGATTCACCACTTCAGGATTCACATGCCATGAAAGAGGGGTGGGAACTGGAATCCGAAACGAGGCGTGTGGGCCAGCCATCCTTGGCAGTCCCTGGACTGAAGAACAAGCCAGAAACCGCTGCGATCATGCGCAGAGGAGTCTGAACCCAGAGGCAGAAGGACCGCAAACTCGCAGCCGCCAGGCCTTGCAGAATTCATCCCGCCGCGTGTGTCTTTTCCTCAACTCCGGTGCTGGCCACCAAGACGATTCCTCACAATGCTCGCATGGAGAGCGTTCCTCTTCCACCACTTCTGGAGCTGTGGAGAAACTTTGGGGCTTCCGCTCAATGCTTTCAAGGGCTTTCATGAACTTCAGAACTGTCCAAATCCGTTATAGTTGTCCACCGGTTTTGCCTTCTGCCCTGGAAAGCTCACGGGTGGGCAATACAGGGATGGAAGAAATGCTGTGGAGCTTGAGGACTAGAAGAGTGCTTTCTCTTTTAAACATGTGAAAACTGCAGCACTGGGAGTGGGAATTTTGAGTCGCAGTCCCCTGTGGGTCCCCCCGCCTTACAAACAAGTACAGCAACATACAACAGCAAAGAACAGATGAACAACCCAAATCCAGTACTCCAGAGTGCCAGATGGCATCGAAATGCCAGCGTGGCCACGGCCAAAGTTGCCTGCCTGCTCACACATGAACCCATTCCTGGAAAACAGTTTCACATATTCTCCTAATCATCGTTTTAGGTGGACTCAGAGATCTTTGCTGGCCTGCTTCCTCTTTTTAATACCTGCACACAATGCAAAAGGAAAACTGCAATTTGCATCAGCCGTATACACAAAGTTTCCGTGTGGTGGCGGTCGGCTTTTCGTCCTCATTTTTTCCCCCATTGTTTTCTTTTTAATTAAATTTGATGACAAAGCCAAGACACAGACAGAAAGAGACCAATAACAGGACTGTAAATAGTTTAGAGGGGCGAAAAGAGAGAAAAGAAAATGCGAAATAGAAAAGGGAAACAAAACGAAAAGAAACCCGGTCGACAGAGGTGTGGATGCAGGACAAAGCCATTCGAGGGGCAGAGGTGAGGGCCGCCGAGGCAGGGACTTTCACGTCAGCTCCAAGGCGACTGTTAAGATGACGGCCAGGACCAGCCGGAAGTTGCTGCTTGCGGTGGGGGAACCTACGAGGAAGGAGAGACAAGACAGCCCTTGGAGAAGCTGCTGGTTTGCCGGCCCCGGAAGGAGAGCGCCTCCGTGACGGAGACAGACGTCTGCCGGTTTCGCTTCTCCCTCGTTTCACGTTTGCCCGGCCTTAAGCTCTGTCCCTTGCACACTTTGAGAATTTGCTCCGTCTTAAATCCAGTGCAAGCTTGGAGATTTGTTTATGTTTTGATTGCATGAAACGGGGTCCCCGTTTTGGGCCGCTTCCTTCTAGCACGCGCGTCATCACGTACGGTTGGTTCAATGCGCATGTTTTTGCAAGGTATTTTCTGAAAATTGGGTGCTTTTCAACGCTGGTTTGGTTTGGTTTGGTTTGGTTTGGCAAAGCAAGCCTGCGTATTTTGCTTGCGACTGGGGCTCTGGGAAGGGACTCCATGCGGGGGGGGGGGGGGGAGCCAGAGAGAGACAGGAGAGAAATTGGGGAGCAGAGCAGGGGGTGCTCAGGAAGCGACAGTGGCAGATCGGCCGAACCCTTTGCCCCCAACCCGCATTCGAACTGTGCCTCACCGTTGGAGTCCTCGGATCCTCTTGGAATATTTGGGTTTTCTGATGAGAAAAAGGGAGGGGACGGAAAGAGAACGGTTAGATGGCCCTTTCACTCGAGGAAGAGGATGCACGGCCCTGAGGTTTCCAGCACGCCGCGAGCGGGTGGGTTTGGCCCGAGCACGGACGCGGAAGGCGGCGTCTCGCGAGCCCTGGCTGCGTGCCGCTCGGCTGGGGACCCGGCTCTGGCCGGCCGAGGGGCACCGCCTTCCCTCCCCCGTGCCCTGCTGGTGGGGCCCCTCGGGACACCTTTGCAACGCCAGCTGCCCTGCAATGGCCTGGCCGTGGGGCAGAGGGCCTCTCCGCAGGAGGTCCACAGGCGTGGAGGCCGGGAGCGCAGGACCTTCCCCCGGGGAGCAGGAACGAGGCGGAGCAGTGGAGAGCCCAGCCCCAGGCCGGGCCCCAGGGCCAGATCCGGCCTTCCGGGGCCCCCCTCTGGTCCCACAGGTGTCCCCACGCTTTGGGCTCCACCCCTGGATCCCTGGGCGGGTTCTGGCCCCCGTGCGTCCTTCCCCACCCCTACCCGGAGGTCAGACTAGATGGCCCGGGAGCCCCTTCTGACTTGCACTGTTTCTGTGTCTTCCCAAAGGCTCCACTGCAGGTGGGGGGGTTTCGGCTCCGGCGTGCTGGCCCTGGTGGGCCTCCTCGCCCCACCCCATTCACGGTGGCTCCGCCCCCTCCCCGGCCACCCCCCCCCGGTGGACTGGAGCCCCAGAGCAGCCCCCAGGCAGGATTCTACCCCTGCCCGCACGCCCCACGACCTACCGAACACGATGAGCCGGGTGTGCGTGTCCGTGGAGCCCAGCGGGTTCTGGGCGGTGCAGCGGTACATGGAGCCGTTCAGCTCTGCCGGCACGCGCTCCAGGACCAGCTCCTTCCCGTGGTGCTCGGTGCTGCCGTCCAGGAGCCTGCTGCCAACGCGGGTCCAGGTGAACAGGGGCTCGGGGAAGACTTCGTTCTGCCAAGCGGAGGAGAGAGCGGGACGTGCCAGGCCTCGGTGCGGCTCGGGCCCATCTGGCCCGGGACCGGCGGCGCCTCAGGCTGTCCAAAGTGGGATCGGAGGCGTTCCCGGTCCTCTGCCACTGGACTGCAGCCCCTCCCGTGCATCTAGTCCTCATGATGCTGAACCAAGGGCCGGCTGACCTGGGAACACGGGGAGCCGTCCCCCCACGGGGCTTGTGTGGCCCAGCCCGGGACTGTCCGCACAGATCTGAGTGCCCTTCAAAATCCGAGGAAGACCTTTTTCCTTCCCTGCCCCCAGATCCCGGGGGGGGGGCACCAACACGTGAGGGCTAGTCTGGAAGGCCGGAGGGGTCACTTCCGCAGCCGGCCCGAGGGAGACAAGGGTCCAGTGTCCCCTTCGGGACTGACCCTCGTGCGGCACATTTCCCCTGCGATTTGAACGAAGCGCCGCTTTCCGCGAAGCCTCTCACTTCTCTCCTCCTCTCTCCTGCCCTTTCTCTTCTCTGTTTGCCAGTCCAATTAGTCGGACCGAACAAACCCTCCCCGGTATTCCTCTCCCCACCATTCAGTCCTGGCGCATAATTTCCTTTATATATTTGTAGCCATCCCTCTAGCCCGAATCCCCGCCAACAATGAAACGATTCACCCAAGTGACCTTCGAAAGAAAACGGGGAAGCAAACCAGCCCACGTCCAGCCCAAACCTGGGAGCACCCGGGAGCTCGCGGGGCGCTGGCCGGGGGCCCCGTACCTGGAAGCCCTGCACCAGGATGCGGACCGTGTCTCCGACGCGGGCTCTCGTCGGGGTCATCAGGATCTTGGGGCCCTTGGGAGCCACTGTGGGGACAGAGAGGCGGGTCGGACCCTCGGCAGCGGAGCTCACTCCCCCTGCCCCCCCGTTTCCCCACCAAAAAGCCGCATGTGGCTTTCACGGGGCGTGAGACACAAGGAGCCCCCCGTGCCGGCCTTGGTGACTTAAGAGGGCCGGAAGAAGACCAAATGGGGTCGGTCAGCCTGAGCCGACTGGAAGGGGGGGGAAGGTTGCCTTGGCAACGAAGGAGCAAACTTCCCTCCGCTTCTGTGGGGGGGGGGGATTCAGTGACTTCCTTTTGGGGCAGTGGTGGCACAAGGTGCGTGTCCTGTGTCTTTTGTGTGGGAAGACGCACCAGGTCTCCACTCTGGGTCCCCCTCTTGATGCCCCCGGGCAGCCGACGGAAGGCGTGGGCCACGCCAAGCCAGCCCGCCCCGCCCCGTCCCGTCCCGTCCCAGGCGGGCTTTCTGGGCAATCTGGCTGCTGAGGAAGCCTAAATGAGATTCCATGGGATTTCTGTGTATCTGAACTGCAGATCCCACAAAGGACGAGGTTCTCCCGGCCACGAAGGTTCTCCACCCTTGCAGGTGAATAAAAAAGGAGATTTATGCAAGTGTTCAACGTGCAGTCGCCCTGAAGCGTGCCAGCGGTAATGCGCACTTGCGCAAGCGGAACAAATATATAATAAATAAATAAATAAATAAAATATACCCCGGATCGAGTCCCATCAGTTCCCCGCAGGCTGTACCTCCCCTACCCACCTGGCTTCCCTTACATGTGACTGGACCCCGACACCAGTGTCCACGCCAACGTGGCCAACGACCTGGATGATGGGACTTCCAGCCCATGTTGCCTGGCAAACCCATGAACGAGTGGGACAAGGACGTTCCGGGCTGCTCTCCACCCCACTGAGCATCCACAGGCACCGGGAAAGCCCTGCATTAGTCAAGGCGTTCGAAGGAGGGGAAGAGCCACGCGCCCGCGGCCGGGCCGGCCCACCGTCGCCGTGAGAGGAGCTGGCCGAACACCCCTCTGAAGGCGGGTGCGTGTGGGCGCAGCGCTCAAGCCTGCCAGCTGCCGAGCGCAGGGCCTCTTTGACTGCGTTCCATTATCCGGCCGTGTAAGATTTATGTCTCCCCTCAGCTGAAGGGAGCTTTTCCGCTGGGGATTAACATAAAAGGTATTTTGTCTTTAATATGCAAATGCCGGGTCTGACAGGGAGAGAAGCGCATCGCGGGACGCGACTCAATGGAGTGTTTGATCGGACGCCCTTCCCGGGATTAGCTCCGTGGAGAGCGCTGGCTAATCTCCCACAGCACAAGAGGTGGGACGGGCGGCCCAGGCTCTCGCCACGCGGGCCGAGGGGCTTCTCCTGCGCAACTACAGGCTCCTCTGACAGGAGGTCTGGGCGGGGGGGCGGGCGCACGGGGATTGCCCAGGCCGGAGAGGGACTCGGACCCCCGAAGGATCCCTGCAGAGGGTGACGCAGGAGCAGATCCCCAGGGCGTCGGGACGGTCCCCCAGCCTGGCCCGACAGCCATTTCCGCCCACGCCTCCCTCACGCACTTGGGGTGTGGGGGCGCCAGCCCCCCTTTCCAAAAGCGCTTCGCCCCAGCAAGATCCTGTTCGCACGTGAGCAACGTCAGCAGGAGGCCGAGGTCCGTCTTGTCCAGCGTTCTGCTCACACAGAGGCCCACTAGCCACCGAGGGAGACCCCCGAGCAGGGCCACCTGCCCAGGCTCCCCAGCCACTGGTCTCTGATACTGAAGGGGACACGTGCCCTTTGGACTAGTAGCCACTGCCTCCCCGGACTGGTCCAAGCCCCTTTTGAAGCCATCCAAACTTGCAGTCGTCGCTGTGGCTTGTGAGGGAAAATTCCATCGTCCAGGCACGGGGTGAGCGAGGACCCCCTTCCACTGACTCATCCTGGACGCCCCTCCAATCAGCTTGGATCCGGGGGATTCCAGGGGATACGGACGCTCCATGGAGTTCGCTCAAGTCCATCTCAAAGCAGGCCCCGACCAGGAATGGTATCTGCTCCTTCTTGAATGGAATGGGAAGGAAATAACGCATTAAAAATAAAATAAAATAACCAAATGGGGGATAAAACCAGAACCACTGGGCTCAGCCATCCAGCTCCAGGGCTTTGAGTGCTCAATTCCTGCAAGTCCAGGGTTGGATGCCTGGGAATTCCACCATGTCAGTTGCAGAATGGGAGTTGCTGCTCGCGTCCGTTGAATTCCGTGTGCCGACGAGCGAGGATTTCGTTCCGAGTGTCGTTGGTAGGGATGTACAAAAATCCGCAAGCATCTTCCCAGTGGGAACACAAAGGATTGATTGATGAATTGATTCTCCGCAGGAGGAAGCGAAAACGGCACACGAGGAGGTGTAATAATTTACTTTCACTTCATTTCGATCAGTTTTTTTACCCAGTTTGCACCTTCTGAACCACACACGGCCTCCGATTCAATCTGCGGTTGTCGTTTGCGGAAGGCCAAGCTGGCGGTGTGAATTGCGGAGGAGAAAGTTAGAAGTGTTCCCCAGCAGGGCACATTCCAAAAGGAGCACATTTTTAAAATGTCCCTCCTTCATGGGAGAGCAATGAAGACATTGCAAAAAGGAGAGGCCGACGGAGGGGTACAAATGGGAAAATACGCACAAAAACATGCCTGGTTCTTCATGCCAAACAAATTTTGGGACAGGCTCCAGTTGGAACAAGCTCTGAGATGGAATTTGGAGAACTCTGGAGAACTTGCGACTGGCTGACTCACCCATTTCTACTGACTGAGTCACCTATCCTTGGGAGCTGATTATTCTAGGTAGTCTGAGGGTATTTTCAGTTCTTTACAGGTGCAGGGAAACTGGATTGAAACATCTACATATGCTGGTGTAGATCAAAGGCCGAGCTCGTTAATTCTGGGTAAATTTAGACCAGCCCAATTTAGAGCAACCAAATGAACTCTGGGGCATCGGTGCCCTCTTGGGTGAGGCAGCCGGGCTGAAATTGAAAGCGACCAAATGAAAACATGTTAATTTAAGCAGAGATCCATCCCAGGCGAGGGAAAAGGGGATCAAGGCGGGGAGCTGGAATACAGCAAGGGGGATCCGGCCCCTACAGCTGAAACACGGGCATTTTGAGTGGGAGAGAAGCAAGCAGTCATCCTGGGCCTGGGCCGGGTTGCGGAAAGAGCGGGAAATGGGAAGCGGGTCGACCGGCAGAATTTGGCCATAACTGGTCGAAAACAACACCGTGCGAGGAGGGGCTGGCCGGGGGGATGCCACGGGGCAGGGCCTTGAGGATCGCGGCCCCTCCCCTGCTCCTCCTCCTAGACACCCATCACTGGCTTTCCCATCATGCTTGAGGGCTGGCAGGAGCTCCAAGGGCCAAGGGACTGGCACAAGGGGCTTGAAGCCAAAATGGGGGGGGGGTTGATTCCACATGCACTTCGTCCCGACCCAGGAGTGTGGGGCAGCCCCAAAGAGCTTCTCAAACCAGATTCCCTTCCTATTCCCCATTCCCATTCTTTGAAGCCAAGGTGGAGAGGCATTCAGGGCCCAGATTCCACTGGCCCGTTAAGGACAGGGGCCAAAATTCCCCCGTTTACCAGGTTTAAAACCTACCAGTGCCGCTAGGGGCATTCCAGGGGCATTACGGGAAGGATCAGCGCCCGATAAAATGACTGAAAGCCCTACCCTGAGGCGGGCAAATCCGGGAAGACTGCTTTGCAGGCTCTTTGCTGGAGGAAATGAGCATTTTGCAGAGAGGAGGAGAACCGGGAGAAATCCCCCACTTCCTCTCATCTGGCACGGAAGGGAACCTGCCAAGACTCGTTAGCCGGGATGCTGGTCGCGAATCGTGGTGAGGAGAAAAGGATGCTGAGAGAAGAAAGCTGAGCTTGCACGCCAAAACTGTGCCCCTGGGGCAGAGCGGACTGGAGAGAAGGAGAGCGGCCCGGCCCTTAAGGGGCAGGAGAGGATGAGGGAACAGACGGGGGAGAGGAAGAGCCCTCATTTCGGCCTGACAGGAGCCCTTCTCTGGAAGGGACGCTCGCCACTTCTTGCTGGTGCAAATGCCCCAGCGGGCAGAGCTGCTGGGGGGGGGGGAGGGCGGAAGGAGGGCAGGAGGATGCACAGCCGCTGCAGAGAGATCCCGGGCTGCGCGGCTGCAAAGGTGGCCCGCCAGGTCCCTGCGGGCAACGGGCACACGGGCGCAGAGACGCAACCCGTCCCCGCGAGGCTCGAGCGTGGCGTTTGCTTCAGCTTGGTTTTGATCCAGACGCCCTCGGCTCACATCTTCCCGGCTCAGCCACCATCTGTGGTCGGCGTCTGTGCCTTTCTGGGCCGGTTACTCGATTTGCAGACCAAGGAAAAGCATCTGACAGTACATGCCCCTCTGCAAAATGCATGTGCCGACCGACGTGTGTGCTTTTGGAAGATGCACGCCAAGCGCTTTTACCCACGGGAGGAGAAAGCATATGTCTCGAAGACATGCCCCGCCGATGTGCCCATCTGAGAAAAGAGGCACGAATACGCACGGACTGCCTCGCAAAATAAAGAAAACCAAGAGGACAATCTGCTGGAGGCACGAGGCAGAACAAGCGCTGAGGTGGGATTTGGAGAGCTTTGGCGAGCTCGGAGTTTGCCGATGGGCGCATCCCCGGAGAAGTCCGGGGCAGGGGATGGGCGAGACGTTGCAAAGAAGTCGAGCCTCCAGGCGAGCTGGCAGCCTCCCTCACGCTGCTTCCCGGGGAGATTGGCCTCTGCCAGAAAGCAGGTGCTGGGTGTGAGGCAGCCTTGCCCGTATCTCGCAGGGGGAGGCCAAGGAGAAGCGAACGGCCGTTCCGGAAGGTGCCCACCTGGGAAGGGCCCTTGCAGAGCTCAGCCTGCCCCCGAGCAGACCTCTGAAACGATCCTCCAACTGGGTGTCCTCTGCCTGGACTACAGCTCCCATCCCTTTCCACCCAGATGCCACCCATCACACCTTGGGGACAATAGGTGGGGGAAAGCTCCTCTCTCGTCGCCCACATCCTAACGCCTTGATGAAAAGCAAACAAAATCGGTGGTGCCTTCAAGGTGGAAAGAAGAGCATCCGAACGCACGGGAACGGCTTCTTCATCAGTGACCTTTCAGAAGCTGCGAAGATGAACTTCCTTTGTGGCAAGTCACGATTTCATCAGTCATTTTAAAGATGCCATTTCCGTCTCTCCCTTGTCCTTGGAATGGTTTTAAACCTTTCAGCGCTGGTTGCCACTTGATTACCTGCTGTTGCATTTTGTGGGTCTTAAAGTTCAGGGGCGCTGGCTTCAGACTGGAAGGAAGCTTTCTTTTTAATCGTTCGGCGGGCGATTGTCACGCTTCGCTCTCCTGAGCTCCCAGGAAAATGGTGGCGTATCGAAGTTTTTAAATGAATTTAAATACATGGATCTGGGGACAAGACGGGTGTTGGAGGACATTCCAAGAAACCAGATGAGCCTGAGCTGTGGATTCTGAGCCACGTGGGCTCTGCAGACCATTTTCTTAACATCTTTGGAAGAAACGCGCATTTTAATCTTCCTTCATTATTTATTCCCTGCTTCCTTCCCCCAGCAAGGAAAGCCAGCTGCCACACACCTCCGCCTCTCTGCCCTCTTCTCAAAACAACCCTGCGAGGTTGGCTTGGCTTGGGTTCCTCCTCCAGAGTCCCACAGAGGGCACTGGGAGACCAGGCCCTGGACCTCCTGAGCCCCAGTGGTAACCCCCGGTTCAACCAAACGAGTCCCACAGTGACGCCCCGGAACTCGCTTGTGTACGACGAAAGGGCCAAGAGCAACAGGGTGGTGTGAAAAGGAGGCGGGCCAGTCTCTGGAGAAGAAAATCGCCCGTCTGTGCTCGTCCTCGCGGCTGTTCGGTGGCACTTCGGTGTCAGCCTTCCAGTGCGGGGACAGCGTGCCAGACAAGAGGGCCCCACGCCCGGCCCAGGCCCAAGCCTTCTTCTGCTCCTAACACGATTCCCATACCCAGAGTCCACGCACGCTGCTACAGAACTAATGATGGACAGACAGGTGCCAGGTAATCCATGAGACACCTTATGGCTTAGACGGGCCCTGGGAGATGTGCTGAGAGGAGACTCAATGGGTGGGGGGGTGGAGAGAGAGGCACTCGGCTGCCCCCCCACAGCCCTGACACTGACCTCCTCTCAGCCTCTCCCTGCCCACCTCGTCTTCCCAAGGCCGTTCACGGTGGGGCAAGAAGGGCTCGGAACAGCCGCCGGGCCCTCCTGTATCCCGACTGCCTCGCAGGTCTGCGTCAGCACTGGGGGGACATGGCGGCCCCACGGCTGCGCGATTCCGGGGCCAGTGGCGGTCGGTCCCACGCCGTGGCTTCGAGTCAAGCTAGGGTGGCCAGCCGCCCGAGTGGACTGGCTAGCAAGGGTCTGCAGCGACCTCCCAGGAATGGGGCCCCGAGTTTCCTTTCCTCTGTAGCACGGCGTGGCCAGCCAGGAAACCGATTTTAGGCACGGCAGGTGCCCCTTTAAGAGGCCTGTCCTTCCTGTGCCCGGGCTCCTGCCGCCTCCGTGAAGACGGAGCCTCCCCGAGTTTGCTTTGCCCGCCTGAAATCGGAGCTCTTGGCAGCTGCCGCACAGACGCACACCCGAGGTCCGGACGAGCCCGTGCTGAATCTCAGGGCGACCGACGGGGGTCCTCCCGCCGACCCCGCTGCGCCGGGGCCCGTTCTCGGCCCGCCCGGGAGCCCCGGCCCGCCCGCCCGCCCGCCCGCCTTACCTAGCGTGACCTCGGACTGCATGGGCATGGAGAGGGCCGGGTGCTTGACCTCGCAACTGAAGAGGGCGTCATTGTCTATCTGAGGGTTCAGCGTCCACATGAGCATGGCCCGCACCTCCACGGTGCCGTCGCTGACGGGGAGGTGGGTGTGGTGGAAGAAGTAGACGGGCTCCACGTTCTGGATCCAGCGCGGGAACTCCCGGCTCACCACCGTCTCGGGGACGGCCTCCGTGGCGGGGCCGAGCAAGAGCCCGCTGTCCGGGGTGAGGCTCGCCCGGGGGTCCTCGGTGAAGGGCCGCCCGCCCCGGCCCTCCACGTCCAGCAGCGAGCGCGACTTCTGCAGCTTGGTGTCGTCCAGGTCGCGGTGGAAGAGGTTGCGCGCGGGCCGGCCGTCCTGCAGCCCGGAGGGGTTGACCGGCGGCTCCATCAGCGGCACCACCTCGATCGGCTCGCCGTCCCTCTTGAAGTACACCTGGGGAAGGAGACGGGGGGCAGAACTGAGGCGCCGCCTCCCCCGCTTTGCCGAGCGTCCTGCCGCGCATCCACGTCCTTTCCTGCACTTCCAAGCTCTGCGTCTCTGCTGGGCTTTATTTGCCGCGTATTATGATCTGTTCTGCCGTGCTCGAAATGAGTATATTGTATTTTATCATGCTTTAAATGATGTTTTTAATTGGTGTGAAATGGCCAGAGAGCTTCCGCTTTTGAGCGGTACAGAAAGCCAGTAAATGAGTAAAATAAATTAAAAAAAAGTCAAACTCACAGAGAGGGAGCTGATTTTACACTAAGTAACACGGATCTGTGGGTCCAGGGGGAGGAAGGCTCTGTTGTACTGCACTGCCTAATTATTATTATAAGTAGCATTTTTACGATCCGTGTTGTTCTATATTTGCGTAGATTGAGACATTTGTGTGTGTTTTATATAAATTTTTCAAAGATGCTTAAAAAAAATTAGCCCTCCGGATATCTTGCAAAATGGATCACAATAATACCATATACTGAAAGGTATTCAAAGGGGGGGGGTCGTATGTCAGAGGCGGTCCCAATTCATGGCAACGCAGCTCCGAAGCGGCATGGGAACTGTCCATGGTGCTGAGTTCCACCCCTCACACAAAGGCTGCCACAGGTAGGAGCACCTGCTGGTCCAGGATCCACCTGCCTCCCCCAAATAAAAAGCAGAGCGATGCAGGATAACAGTTAAGAGATGCAGCGCTCAGTGCAGCAGAGTCACTTTCAGGACAACCCACCCCTCCCCGCCCCGCCGACCAGGAATAAAGTGGTCTTTGCCTGCTTGGCCTCCTTCAGCAGGGAGTTCCGCAGGCCGGGAGTGGCCCCCGAGAAGGCCCTGCCCATCCCAGGGGCCGCTCCAACCAGCGTCTCAGCGGAAGGAATTGAACGGCGTTGCTCTGTCTCTCTGCACGGCAAGCAGCTTGAGCTACTGGGCTTCTCTGGGCATTTTTCAAAACCGCGCTTTACCCTGGGCTTGCTGGGGCTCGTCTGCTCTTCCGCAGGCCACGGGAGGGCGGATGGCTGGCAGGGCGAGACTTACCATGGGAGCCGGCTTCCCGCCGGAGACGATGCAGACCAAGGTGAAGTTCTGCGCCTGGTAGCGGCTGAAGGGGGCCGGCGTGTCGGCAGCAATCACGGAGATGGATATCGGAGGCGCTGGTGGGGAAACAGGCAGGTCCGACCATTACGAAGATGCCCAAACGCTAATAAACATCGTTGCTTCCCCACTTTTTCCCCTCTTGGAAGGAAACCGAGGCAGCCTACCGGATTCACTTCCTCTCCCTCTCCGTTTCACCCTCGCAACAACCCTGTGAGGTAGGTCAGCCTGGGCACCAGAGGCTGGCCCAAAGCCACCTTGCAAACTTTGTGGCTGGCACTCGGCTCTGCCCGGTCCCGGGGCTCGGTCTGAGGCTCCCCCGAGCGGGAGGCGGCCTGGCTCAGCTCCCTGCTGCCCCGGGAGGTCCCTGCGTGGGTCGAGGGGTGCAAAAGCGGGGAGCGGACCAACCCAGGGGAGGCCTGCCTTGGCGGGAGGGGTCTGAGGAGGGGCAGGGTCTCCGGAGCTGCGCCCTGCGTGGACCGGATGGGGGGCCTCCACAGCCCCGAGGCATCCCACCCCACGATCCTAGGAGACGAACCCCCCGAGAAGGGGAGGCGAGGGCTGAAGCCTCGCGGGGGTTCCCAGGTGGCCAGCCCCAGAGCCGGGCAGCGAGAGGACGCACGCCCCACTTCCGACCCCCTCCTGCCGGCCTGCTTCCTCCTCTTAGCTGTGCCCAGAGCGGAGTTTCTCGTGAACTGGCGCCGTTTTTATGAGCCCAGAAACGTACGTTGTGCAAGCGAGCATCAATCAAAGTCCGCAGGGCTGACTCCACAGTGAGGCCACCGGTCCCCGGGGGCCTCTCACTGCAAAATCCCCAAACGCTTTTTTTTAATAATACCAAAAGATAAAAATAAAAATCCTAGCGGACGGAGACAAACGTAGAGCAAAAGGAGCTGTTTTTGGGCTCACAGAGTGGCTTACGCAGGAAGGGGTGAAATAGAAAGGCAGCATCAAAGTCAGAGGCATGTCGTGAGCGGAGCCGGCTGGATCTGGGGTCAGACTAGATGGCCCGGGAGACCCCTTCTGACTCGCTCTGATCTATGCTTCTATGAAAACGGAAGCAAAGATTCCTCACAGCGGCTTTCACAGAGTGACAACCCAGTGGCAGAGACCTTGTTTCTCCCCAGACGTGCCTGAGTGGGCGTACAAAGCGCTCTCCCAGCGTCCTTTGCTTACCTGGAACAGTGCGGAGGCAGGGATGCGTCCGGGGGGAGCCATGACCTGCTATTGGCACGTTCACCCCCAGCATCTCCACCTGACCGGAGACTAGGAAGCCGGGCCGGGAGGGAGCCGAGGTCTGGGGGGGGGGGGCAAGATGCTGCCACCCATTAGGGCCAGTAAGACCCAGGAAAGGTGTGACCCCCCCAGGGCATCGTTGAGTGCAAGGTGAAAAATGGGAGCCCCCCTGCAGTGGGGCGGAGGAGGGTTCGACCAAAGCCCCATGGCCAGCAGATCCACAGGGCAGCAGCCGTGGGGCAAGCCCTTCCCAGGCCGGGATGCGAATGGCGCACCCCAGGGAGCACCGGGAGCTCAGATCCCCGGCTGAGGGTGCAGCCTTCCTGGCGGAAGCAAGGCAGGGCCGGCACCAAGGGAAGGCACGGCCGGGCCCTTGCCAGGGCTCCCTCTCCGGCGGGGGCCCCTGACCAGGGCGCCCCCAGACAGGCGCCTCCTCTTCCCCGGGGTGGGCAGCCTCTTTGCCTGCCCCTCACCCTGCCTGGGGCCGGCCGGCCGGCCGGGGCAGGCAGTGTGGCGCGAGGGGGCGAGGGGCTGCAGTAGCTGCCCACCCTGGCAGGGGGCAGGCAGTGCCGGGGAGGGAGCCCCCCCCCCAAGCCGCGTTCGCTCGAAAGCAGGTCAGCTCGGCAGGGCGGGAGCCCCAGCTGGCAAACGCCGCAGCTGTTCCGCGGGAATTACCCGGCCCGGGCTGATTTATGCCGCGTGACAGTCTGCGAACTCTCCTCCTCTCCTCCCTCGCCAGCACCCCAGCAAGATCTCCCGAGCCGCAACGGCCCCGAGCGCCAGTCTCGGCGGGGGCAGGGATGGCAACGCTCCTCTCCAAAACACAGGATCGAGGCCCACAAAGCACCTGGCCCCCTCCCTGCAGGTGCCTCCCGAGGGGCCCTTTTCCGGAACGACAAGCGGCTCTCGGCTCGCAATCCTTTCCAGTCCTCCCGGCTCCATCAGCCCCGAAACGCTCAGCACCGGGCAGGTGTCGGCACCAGCTCGGACGCGGGACGGTGCTCCGATTGTCGGGAAGGGTCCGCCCTTCGTCTGCCTTCGCTGCAGGCTCCGGACCCTGCCATCTTTTCATCAGGATATCGCCTGCCCGCCCGCCCGCCCGCGTGCTTCCCTGGGCGTTTCGGCATCCACACAGAGTCTGAGCAATCGCGCTGGCTCCCCTAAGAGGCTCCAGAGTGGCTCACGGCCCCAAAGACCGCGTGCCCGTCGCATCGGATCTCTTCTTCAAAAGTACTGCAAAGATATACTTCATTTCCTCCTCCCTCTGCATAAACGAGCAGCGAGTCCCCAAATGTGAGGCCGTATATCTGTGTCGCGGCGGCAAGAAAGATGGACTGGACGGGAAAGGAAGAGAAATCATCCCAGAGGGTGTTTGGAGGAGGGGGGCCGGAGATAGATCATGGGAGAACGGGGGAGTCACGGCGAGGGGGGATGCGGATGCCAATGCAGAAAAGCCGGGAAGGATGCTTGAAAAACCGTTGCTTGGTGGGAAGCGACTGCTCAGGCCGCTGGAAGATTTGCGTTCCCGTCATGGTCGGGATAATGTTTTATGCATTTCTGCTTCGGGAGAAACGGGGAGCACATATCAGATCCGTCATGGATACATCGGGGTGAGGGGGACCCTTGCAGCCCCCCCTCTGTGAGAAGACTAGAGGTGGGGCAGAACCAATGCCTCTTCTTGGAGAGTTCAAGCAAACGGGCCCACAACCCACCCTCTGGGCCATGGGCTCTCGCGCCTCCCGGGGTTGGGGGCACTGCAGCCATCCCCAAGACGGAGGCCTGGAATGAGAAGTCGTACCTCCAAGGGGCGAGAAGCAGGAGTCCCTCTGTACCCCTCACTAGTCAGACCTCACCTGGAGTCCCGTGTCCAGTTCTGGGCACCAAGATTGAAGGAAGATGCAGGTAAATCAGGAAGGGTCCAGCGGAGGGCGACAAAGATGATCCAGGGTTTGGGAACACCGAGAAGAGACGGAGAGAAGTGGGCATGTTCAGCCTGGAGAAGAGAAGGCTGAGGGGGGACATGAGATCCTTCTAAAAGCACCTCAAAGGCTGCCACAAAGAGGAAGGTCAGGATCTCTTCTCACTGACACCAGACATGGAAGAATCAAGTCAAGCTGTGACAGCCCAGATTCAAGCTGGACATCAGGAGAAGCTTCCTCAGGGTCAGAGCAATGCGACAGGGGGACCGGCTGCCTGGAGGGGTGGGGGGGCTCTCCCTCACTGGAGGCATTCAAGGAGAAACTGGGCGGCCCTCTGAGTGGGGTGGTGCGACTTGGTGTCCTGCACCAGCAGGGGGTGGACCGGATGGCCAATCTGCTATTCTATGAGACTATGATCAGGCCCCGATTCTCCCCCACCGCACTGAGACATGGTTTCTGGGAGTATGGAGAGCAGGCCATCCTCGAAGGCATCTCACGTAGCTTTCCTTCACCGCAGAAGATCAGTCTTCCCCGAATTCTGGATCTGGGCGCATTCCAAGCAGACTAACGAGCGAGAGGCCGTTCCGCCGAGCTTCTCGTCGGCCAGGAGCACCTCGGGCAAGGGACTGACAAGGTGTCATGTCAGCCGGGAAGGGCTGTCGCACGGCCCCCTCTGGCAGGTCGCTGCCGTCCTTCCCCCCTCCTCTGCCCGGAGGCGTCTCCACTCCCGCCGTGCTGCTGGTAACCTTCGCCTCTCCCTTATTTCATCCCTCAAGCGCCCTGGACCGCGAAGTCACACATCATGGCCAATTAAAGGTGCCGTCTGGAGGAAGGAAACTTTGCCTAATGCCGAGATGGCTAAATTTAGAAGCCGCCGAGGGGGGAGGCGTAAACCATCTCTGCCTGGCCCAGGAGGTGTCAGAATGTGATTATGTCATGGGAAGGTTTCACCCGCAGCAGCAACCCAAGGGAGCGGAGGGAGGGGGAGAAAGTCAGCAGGCAGGAAAAGCCGGTCCCGTCTCTCGGGTGGAGATTTCGCTCACCCATCCCGCCTGTCGTCCATTGCCAATTTTGGTGCAGCGTTTTCCCCTTTCGCTCGTCTCCCCATCGCCTTGCGCCGACGAACGTGGCTGAGAAAGTTGGAAGGGACACCTTGTCGAATACCCGGTGACCGAGATCAAGGCGAGCCAGGGCACGGTTGAGGCCGAGTTCCGGCCGGTGGGCGGGAGGGTTCCAGGCGGAAGGTCGCAGCTGCAACCCACTTTCGAACACACCTTTTGCATATTTGTATCCTGCCATTTTCTCTCTTGCGAGGAAAGGAAAGTGCCTCACGGGGCCCTGCTCCTCTGCGTTTTTCCCGGTAGAGACTCTGCAAGGTCGCTGCGCTGGGAGTCAGGGGCTGGCCAGACTCACGGCCAAGCGGGGACCAGCATCTGGATCTCCTGAGTCCTGGCCCGACACTCCCACCCGACACCACCAGGCTCCTCGGCTGTGTAGCCGCACGCCGTCCGGAGAACCCTCCTGGCCAAGGAGTGAGACGAAAATGCTTGACAGGAATGAATAAAGAAACCATCGCGCACACACAAATATCTTCAGCTGGTTGAACTGAGCTTGCTAAGCGGTGTTGGAATCCCTGCTCCAGAAACAGCCGGCGGCAAAAGGAGCACAGTATTCAGGCCGCCCTGATGAATGATCCCAGGGCCGTTGGCCAAGGGCAGGCGGCTCTGAGCGCTGCAGCGCCAGGCTCCCGCTGGGGGGCTGCGGAGTCCCAGCAGAGGAGAAAGGAAGATCCCACGAGGCCGAATTCCGCCCGTCAACAAGCCACGGATGTCTCCTAGTCCGGCGCTTAGCCGCTGGGACATCCTCTGCGTCTGTGGGGCGGGGAGAGGCTTCCACTGGAAAGT